ACTCACTGACGATCCCGGCGAATCGTCTGGGAATGTGCCACGTCCACGGTCCGACTTTGGAAATGATTATTCATGCAATGGACTCTGGACAAGGTGCGTTCTTCTAAGTCTTCCTACCGACATGACCAAGTTGCGAAAACAAGGTCAAACATCCTCTATACATCGAAAGGCATCTTGGTTTTCATATCTGTCATATTTTAGTTTTTAAATTTTCCCTTAGTAGATTGAGGCTCATATACGTTTCATTTCGTTTGAAAAGGTAGTTGGAAGGGATTCTTGAATTGGCCACACCGGATACCGAGTGAGGGTTGCCTTGGACTTGTGGTCAGTGGATCGTATGAAGATCTCAGCTTTCCGTGATGCGATCCCGATCTATCCGTGCTGATCTTTCGTCCGTCATGTGACAAATACCTAATCCTCATCTTTATTGGTTTGGTGTTTTTTGTGATTGTTCGTGATTAATATTTTCCTGCTTCTACGATGTTCATCACATTGCAGGTGTAAGCTGAGCGCAGATGACTTAGGGTATCAGCCGAGGTCTTCCTCGCACCATCCAGCATGCACAACTATCCAATGGGGTCAATCTATGAAACCCTTCCATCCGCCGTTTTACACGAAATGCGGGCATAAATTGTCATACTTTTTCCTTGTTTTCAATGTATTGCTTCTTCTCTTTTCCAATTTATAGGGGTGTGGAAAACGATTTTCTCTTGACTTCAACCTGCGAACACACCTCCGTATTCACACTGGAGATCGTCCCTATCCTTGTCCACAGCCCGGCTGTACTAAGCGGTTCGCTCAATCTACCAACCTTAAGTCACATCTGGCCACACACAGTAAATTACGCCAGCCAACTCCCTCCGGAGTGTCTGTCTCAACCACTGTCGCCTCATCCACACATGCCTCTCCGACTGGTCAGCCCGTGAATCCCGGCTCTGGGGGAGCCATGAATGCTGCAGGCCTTGCTGTAGGCGCCGCAATCACATCTGCCGCCAGCAGTGCTTCTGGAAGCCTCGGATTGTCCGCAAATGCTGGCATGAGTTGTTTAGCCTTGACTGGCTCCGTGGGTCAAGCACGCGGGATTCATACGGTGTCCGGCCTTTCTCCGCCCCTAGGAAACAAATCCATTGGCACTGCTGTTACCAATGCCATTGCATCAAGTGTTGGCCCAAGTAGTGGGTCTTCTGGGGGCGATTCTGTTGAAGCTATGGGCTCGCTGTATTCACGGCATCACCAACATCCTCACAGCAATTCGTTCCTGGGCCAGCCGAAGCTCTTCGGTTATGGCATTCGGTTCACTCCGTCTAGTGTGGATGAGTAAGCTCTTTCTATCATGGTCACACTGCTTGAATAATACTCTTTTCATGGTAATGAATAGAGTAGCATGAGTTAAATGCTTTATGGAAGAAGATTGGGAAGCGATTTTATTTCTAATCAACCCATCTTTTACTCATACTTC